CATATATATATATATATATATATATATATATATATATATATATATATATATATATTTATATATATATACATATATATATATATATATATATATATATATATATATATATATATATATATATATATATATATATATATATATATATATATATATATATATATATATATATATATCAAGAAATGATAAACCAAAAAGAAAACACAGGTAACTTGAAAAGTTATTTTCAAAACATCAATGTGATTAAATATGGTACCTATATTATGGGATATAGAGTAAATCACATCTACCAAGACTAAGTGAGTAGCTATTGTTTTCATCTAAAAAATATTTTTCTTAATTTTAACTAAAATTAACTTAAATTTAACCAATTTTTTCAAGAATATGGTTTTCAGAATGCACATGACTAAAAAAGTTTTTTTTTTTTTTGACAACTAAGTTAACAATATTAATAAAACTATTCACAAAAATGTACTCAAAAACTAAGGCTTTTAAATAAAATTAATTAACTAGCTACTATTAAGAGAAAACAATTACAAACTGTAAAAGACAGGGTTGCCACCATTATTTAGGAACAAAATTCCCTGATTTTCCCTTATTTTTTTGCCAAAATTTTGCTTTTTCCTCCCTGATTTTCCCTGATTTTTTGCTAAAATTTCGCTTTTTTTTTTCCTGATTTTTCCAGATTTTTCCCCCTTGAATTTTGCTAATTTTCCCCTGATATTTCCAGCATTCAAATGGTCAAACTTAACATTTAAACTTCTCCAATAACCCCAGAGCATTTATAACTCTAAAAAACAAATACTATAATTCCCCAATGAGTAATGAACCAATCAATTTGCTTGAAAATGAAAATAATAATCAAATACTTTAATCAACATATGAAATTTTTCTTTGAACCAGGGTATATTTAAAATGGATATGTACAATAGGCATTGAAAACCTGTCAGACTTATCTCGGGTACAAGATAATGAAATTCAAAAAAATGTAATGAATGTAATAAATTTCTAATTGTATGTTTTACATACATCTTTTAATACTTTTTGCTTTTAGTCTTAATATTTCTTGATCTAAAAGTATTATTACGCTATTTTCTTTTGCTTGGAGTTTTCTATTTTCCTTCTAATAGTTTTTATATTGTAATGAGGTACTACAAACAGTATTTATTAATTCATCGTTTATTTCTATTTTATGAGCCTTCAATTTGTTTGACACCATAAAATCCTTGATAAAGCAACGAGATATAAGTGACATTCCTTTTATTTTTTCACTGAGCATATTACTGGTATTACTGGAATCTTTATTCAATTGATGCTTGCCCTTAATGTAAAAATAAATATCAAAACTTTTGACAAAACCTTATACTTATACTTTTGATCTACACTTAGTGATCTTACGCTTACACAATCTACTACTACTTTAATGATTTCAAAATAAAACTTGTTTAAACAATTTCCAGTGTGTATTTGAATACAAGATGAACTTTCCTCTAACAACTTTAAAAATTGTATGAAAGCTTGATCACATTCATTTGAAGTAATATGTGAGCACGAAAGAACTAGATGTAGTACAGATTTTATCTGTTGAATAAGATCAGCTTTTTGTTTAGAAAGATTTGACATAGGACTGATGCAACCAGTTGCTTTCAGAAAAAAAATTCGATTCAAACATCTTTCAAATATTTTTCCAGAATTCCAATGATAATGAGACCTAATCTTTTATGAAACTGTTGATGACATCCTGAGATAATGCATCCTTTTTCCTTAATTTGATTATGTCATATTCTGCAGCAAATCCAATTGTCGTTAATTTTAATAGCAGAAAGTTTTCATTTTTTGTAAAATCATACTTTTGAAGTTGCCTGCCATTAACAATGCTGCTAAGGACTTCTTGTTTTATATTTAAACCCATTAAACTTTTAACAGTTGATAACAAATCTTCAAAAAGAAAAAGAATCATTGGGGCATTGGTTTGATATCTCAGTAAGATTTTCTGCAACAAACTTGCAATGTAACCAAAAAACCTCAATTTAGTCAAAGTTAACTCATCTTTTGTTAAAGCCAAGACCAAGGCCTCAATTTTTAGCCCTTAAGGCTGAAAATTGAGGCCTTGGTCTTGGCTTTAAAAATGTTGGCCTTGGTCTTGACCTTGAAAATTTTGGCCTTGGCCTTTAAAAAAAAACAATTTTCTTATTGATTTCGTTTAATTCTCCCCATAACCTTGGTCTATTTTTACAAAATGTGGTTTTATTGACACACTACTTGCTACTTACAGTTGTGTTAATAATTGGCCTTAACGCAAGGCAAAAGTTAAAGTATTTGGTCTTGAAAATGTTTGCCTAGACATTGACCTTAAAACTCTTAATCTTTGCCTTAGCCTTAAACTCTTGGCCTTGGGTTTGTCCTTGGCCTTGTAACCTTTGCCCTTGATCTTGGACTTGTAACGAGTGGCCTTGGCCTTGGTCTTGATACTTTTGGCCTTGTTAACAACTCTGTCTTGAACACTTGTCATAACTCTTTCATCTTGGTTGCTTACTTTTAAGAAGAGTCTCCCAATACTTGGTTAATTTTTTCAACATTCTCCCAAATTAAACAAAATCTATCAGCAACTTTTTGGTCTACAACCCAATGTTTTGAGCAAAATGCATAAGGAAAACTCTCATATTCAGTAACTGTTACATAATCAGCTCTTCTAGCCGAAGAATCTTAAAAAAAGGTTGTATGATGCTTTCATTAACTTCTTTATATTCCATTCAGCAGATTGAAAACCTGATTTGAAACCATGTATTAGATGAAGGTTACAGCTCCCAACGTTAAAAAGTTTAGGTAGCTCTTGTTGATCATGCTGTATTTCAAGAAGATTAAGAAGGGACCAATTCACATTTGTACCTTCCATACTTAGTTGAGTCATACTTTTAAATAAATTCTCTGCTGTGGGGTGACCATAAAAATTTTAAAGACAAAGTATCTGGATTCAACATGATTTAGATTGCTGCTCCAAAACTGAATATTTAGATCTGATTGGCCCTTTTTAAAAGAATCGTTCAGGCTTTCATCAAGTGAAAGAGTATAATAAGGAGATTTTTTCATATTTTCAGTTAAAAGCCTGCAAAAATAAGGCCCAATACCATAATTAATTATATAACCAAGTTTTGTTTCACTAATTTCATAAGATTTAGCAATATTGCTAGCAGGGAACATTTTCTGGTAAAGTAGGCAATTTTCATTACATGATTAACGAGAAATTATTCTGTATTGCATTTAAAACAGAGTAGATTTATGTACAACTTTTATCATATTATTCTACTGTTTGAAGTGCTTGCTTTATAGATGCAGACTGTGCAGGCAAGATACTGGCATTGACTTTTGTGCATGTTTTTTGCCACCCATGTGACTTATCATAACTCTTCTGCATATTTGACAAATTAAATCAACTTATCATATTTTGCACTTGGCAGACTTTTTTACACTGCCTACTCGGTGTAGTTAAGGCACTTTTAAAATATTATAGTGCCTGAATGATATTTTGTTGACTGCAATATATTTCCGATAAATGGTCTGGTCTGTGAATTATGAAAATGCAAAAAAAATCAAAATGATAAATTTTGCGGTATCATAAAAAATAAATGTTTGTAGCAAAAAAAACCAGAATGAAGATTTTTTTTTTTTAAATCATCTTTAAGTCACAATCGCTTGTCCAAATTTGAAAAAGATTTTATATTAATATGTTTTTTAGATGAAATGAACATTATAGTTTAACAATATGATCTGTTCTGATTGTTTATTGGCATTTCTCCATAATTATAAGCTCTTTCTTTTCGAAATTCTAGTACTTTTTTGTGAAAATTGATAGAAATATTGTGATTTGACAACTATGTATAGTTAATATACGTCAAAACCGATTAGAACTTGGATCAGTAGTAAATTAAGGAACTTTTTCAAAAGATTTTAATTAAATTAAAGTTAATGCTGATGAGTGGAATTTAATCTTAATATAGAATCTAAAGACTCCAAAATGGTGTTCTTTAGGTTCTATATTACGGGTTCTAAAAAGGTTTTGAAAATTATATAAAAAAAAGAAAAGTTTTTTTCAATATTATAAAAACCTTAAGTAAAAAAAATTGTAATATTTAAAGATCTTGTTTGGACATAATATGCTGACAAAACCATGCTAATTCCAAATAAAAGTATTCTAATTTTTTGTAAATCACCTTAACTACACCGAGTATTACCAGCCATTTTTCAAACAAAGGATCACTTAACCATTTTTCTTTGAATTGAGTTGCACACATTGAATTAATGTAAACACAATATGATTAATTTTCTTGTTAAATGTTAAACATTAACCCTGGTACTCTTAAATTGTTAAAATGTTAAACATTAACCCTGGTGCCCTTGAAAAGGAAGATTTTTATTAGAAAAAATATCAAAACATTAAAGAAAAATTAAAAAGTTCCCTGATTTTCCCTGATTTTTTCCTAAATAAATCATTTTCTCCTGATTTTCCCTGATTGTATCTAAATTTCCCTGATTTTCCCTGATTTGGTGGCAACCCTGAAAAGACGACTCAGACTGACTGTTAACTGCAGACCACTAAATACATCTCAAGTTTGACAAATATAAATGTTAATCAAAATTTATTCACTTTATATAAAAAATAAGACTAAAAATCAAAGACTAATATTTGACATTATAAAGTATCACTAAACCTTAATGAAACTTTTAAAATAATAACACTACTATTAGTGACTCTTTTCCTTTTTTTATGTCGTTGTTTTTTATATCACCACTAAATTTCATGAAAAAGTTTAACTTGCACAAAGTTTTAGCATATGAGGTAAGGAGCAAATAACTCGAAAAAATTTGCTTTTAATGTATATCGGAAAGAAAAAAACTAGATTATGCTAAAACTCTTTAAAAACAATCTAAAAAGTTCTTGAAAACTGTAATTTTACAATTAAAGGTCAATTATTGGAGAACAAATTTGCTATGGCTATTCTTACCCAAACATGCGACCAAAGAATCCTTTGGATGATTCGATATTTTTTTTAGCTTCAGCTAAATATTCATTTGCACGATCCTCTTCCTTGCTCATTTTTGTGATTAAAAAAACTATTCAAAAATAAAATATCATTATTTTATTTTATATCTGTTTTCAGACCTCAGACATTACGTTATTTACAACCATCTTTTGTGTTGTTAAATGTTCGAGGTAACCGATGTAAGAATCTTGTATGTTTGATATTACCGAAGTAAGAATGTTGATTATACCGTTGTCGTCAGCATCTATTTATCGGTTGAATTTATGGCCGATATATCGGCTGTATTATGCAGTAATAGCTACAAGATTTAATAATGTTTTATGTTCCATATTATTGATATAAGAATATTGATAGTACCGTTATTGTCAGCAACAATATATCGAAACTAATATGAAACTTATACCGATAATACAGCTGATGTATCAGCTGTATTATACAGTAACAGCTACAATATACAAATACAAATATACAATATACAATATACAACAATACAAATACAAATACAATATACAATATACAACAGGCATGCTGTAGAGGCGAATATATCGTTGTTGAACCCATAGCCAGAGTCGGACTGGCAAGGGAGGTTGGCGAGTATTTTCCCCCCACCCTAGGCCCCTGTTATGTCTAAAGGTCCTCGGCCTCTCTATAAATCAAGATACACAAATAAAACACACAATAATACAAATTATTAATAACTAACAATTGCAAATATATATATATATATATATATATATATATATATATATATATATATATATATATATATATATATATATATATATATATATATATATATATATATATATATTTTTTTTTTTTCAATAGTTAGTTTCTTTTTTTAAAAAAACATCTTCGCTTCCAACAAGGCTGCAAGCAACCACTAATTAGAGTTGGAAATTACTGGAAGAGGAAAGATGAAGATTGTAGAGCAAGATAACGATTGACAGACGACTTAAAAGATTGCAAATTATATGAATCAGGAAAGCAAAATGAATAAAAAAATTATATGAATCAGGAAGAAAACATCAGTTCTTTTTTCCAAAGAACTGATGTTCGAGGAAAAAACTAGACAAATAAGAGTTTTTGGAGCATTTAGGAACAGCCACATAAAAAGGATGACTTAATTGAATTGCGAGTAACGCGAGAAAGAGTTTTATTATTTTGTCATTTTTTTGTTTTACATAAATTTAATGCGTTTATAAGCAGTTGTTAAAATAGGTTCTAGAAAAAAATTCCCCAGGAAAAAATCCTCCCAAGAAAAAATTCCGCTGAGAAAAAGTCCCCCCGGAAAAAATCCCCTGAGAAAAAATCCCCCCAAAAAAAAATTTTTTTTTACATAAAAATTATCAATATGTAGTTATGCTTATTTCTTTATTTATTTTACATATTTATATAAAATACTTTATATTTCATCAAAATGTCAAGTTTTAAGCTATTTCTCAAAGGTAGCAAAGGTGAAACCCTAACCCTAAACCTGACGAACTGTGAACTGGTAAAATGTGAACTTTTTTGCGAACCATCGTAGTTAGTTTAGCGGTATATTTTAAGGACTTTTAAGCGAAAAAATTAAAAATGAAATTAAGTGAAACTAGACGAATACAATATGAATATATATATATATATATATATATATATATATATATATATATATATATATATATATATATATATATATATATATATATATATATATATATATATATATATATATATATATATATATATATATATATATATATTTTATATATATATATATATATTTTATATATATATATATATATATATATATATATATATATATATATATATATATATATATATGTTAGCTTTTTAACATATATACTTTTTGTAAATGCAATGCATTTTAGTGAAGCTGCACCGAGCAGTGTACGCCTTAGGGATGAATAATAAGTTAAAAAGAGTTGAGCAGAGTGAGATAAAAGTACAAAAGGACAGATGTCCAGAGGAAAACACAGAGCCTTAAAGTGGAAAAATATTAAAAACTAATATGTGTAAAGTGTATTAAAAATAAATAAGAATATTAAACAACAGTCAAGGAAAGTCATTAGTTGTAGTGCTACTAAATTGTTGTTGGAGACCAGCGTAAATGTGATTTGTAGATAGAATTGGTAATGGAGTAGAATTATTCGTTTTATAAGTAGTCATCGTGTGGTTTGTATTCTTAGGGTGATAAACATTCATTATAGATGTAAGTGTCATGAACGTCTCGAGTACAGTATGGATTCGAGCCCTATGGTGCAGTGTGAACGCATAAAGACCTCCAGCTATCATCCGAAACTGGCATCCCAAAAGAAGTTCCACTCTGGGTCTACACCAGGGTATCTTTTTAAAGGTATCCCATTGTGTTATCCCAAAAGGACTATTTTCAGAGTATCCAGTCCGGAAGATTGCCACAGACTCCTGAATTGACACTGGGACCAGAGGACTCTTAGTGGGGTTCAGTACAACTTGCAAACAGTAGTAAGTAGTTTTTTGACATGAGTGTCTATTGGGTGCAGTGGTTTGTCAGAGTCAATGACAGTTGTGAGGTGTTTTGAGTTCTTATAACTGTGTGTGTAATGTTAGCAGATAATGCCGTGTACGTGTGTTTGATTACTTTTGTAGCAAGTCTTGATAGTGAGAGATATCAGTATAAAAATAGTTGAAAGTCTTTTTAGTTGGTGTTACATAAGGTAGACGTGAGTGCTATAAGTCTAATATAGGTGTATCATTAAAAAATAGCATAAATAAATAACAAACTATTACATCTTGATAAACTAGAAATGCTAAACAGAGCTATATCAATAGGGCACCAATGACTAGTGTATGTGTATTGCAACTACTAATCTGTAAATATATTTAACAATTCATAATCTAAAATTATATATAGAAGTCATGTAGTCTAATAGTTTATTGTAAGTGTTACATAAGTGTAATTTGTAATTTTTATGTGACAAGTTTAACTGTGCATGTCACGTGACTGTAATGTAGTCAGGAGTATCTGAGGTCGAGTGGAATTATTCGTTTTCAAAACAGTTAGCATGTGGACTTTAGTCAGTTATTCACAATGTAGGTATAGCATGGCTGACTTTGTGTCATTTACAGTAACAGATTAATAATAAGAATACTATGATATAAGGAATAATTATAGAAGAAAACCAAAATAAAATTTAAAAAGAGGAGAGTAAAGTTTTAATTCAGAATGTGAGGTGTATGTGCATAAGCATATGTTTGTTGCTGTTGTAAGTACTCTTCTTTGTAAATATTGTTAGGTAAATAAATTTACCTCTGTTACATGTGGTTGTCAGGAAGATAGTCGTTGCTCCGCAGTCCACGCGGACATAAATACTTTTTGTAAATGCAATGCATTTTAGTGAAGCTGCACCGAGCAGTGTACGCCTTAGGGATGAATAATAAGTTAAAAAGAGTTGAGCAGAGTGAGATAAAAGTACAAAAGGACAGATGTCCAGAGGAAAACACAGAGCCTTAAAGTGGAAAAATATTAAAAACTAATATGTGTAAAGTGTGTTAAAAATAAAAAAGAATAATAAACAACAGTCAAGGAAAGTCATTAGTTGTAGTGCTACTAAATTGTTGTTGGAGACCAGCGTAAATGTGATTTGTAGATAGAATTGGTAATGGAGTAGAATTATTCGTTTTATAAGTAGTCATCGTGTGGTTTGTATTCTTAGGGTGATAAACATTCATTATAGATGTAAGTGTCATGAACGTCTCGAGTACAGTATGGATTCGAGCCCTATGGTGCAGTGTGAACGCATAAAGACCTCCAGCTTTCATCCGAAACTGGCATCCCAAAAGAAGTTCCACTCTGGGTCTACACCAGGGTATCTTTTTAAAGGTATCCCATTGTGTTATCCCAAAAGGACTATTCTCAGAGTATCCAGTCCGGAAGATTGCCACAGACTCCTGAATTGACACTGGGACCAGAGGACTCTTAGTGGGGTTCAGTACAACTTGCAAACAATAGTAAATAGTTTTTTGACATGAGTGTCTTTTAGGTGCAGTGGTTTGTCAGAGTCAATGACATTTGTGAACTGTTTTGAGTTCTTATAACTATGCGTGTTATGTAAGTAGATAATGCCGTGTACGTGTGTTTGATTACTTTTGTAGCATGTCTTGATAGTGAGAGTTATCAGTGTGAAAATAGTTGAAAGTCTTTTTAGTTGGTGTTACAAAAGGTAGATGTGAGTACTATAAGTCTATCAAACGTGTATCGATAAAAAATAGCATAAATAAATAACAAATTATTAGATGTTGATAAATTAGAAATGTAAAACAGAGCTATATCAATAGAGCACCAATAACTAGTGTATGTGTATTGCAACTACTAGTCTGTAAATATATTTAAAAACTCATAGTCTAAAATTATATATAGAAGTCATGTAGTCTAATAGTTTATTGTACGTGTTACAGAAGTCTAATTTGTATATTTTATAAGTGACAAGTTTAACTGTGCATGTCACGTGACTGTAATGTGGTCAGGAGTATCTCAGGTCGAGTGGAATTATTCGTTTTCAAAACAGTTAGCAGGTGATTTTTAGTCAGTTAAACACAATGTACGTATAGCATGGCTGATTTTGAGTCATTTGCAGTAACAAATTAATAATAAGAATACTATGATATAAGGAATAATTATAGAAGGAAACCAAAATAAAATTTAAAAAGAGGAGAGTAAAGTTTTAATTCAGGATGTGAGGTGTATGTGCATAAGCATATGTTTGTTGCTGTTGTAAGTACTCTTCTTTGTAAATATTGTTAGGTAAATAAATTTACCTCTGTTACATGTGGTTGTCAGGAAGATAGTCGTTGCTCCGCAGTCCACGCGGACATAAATACTTTTTGTAAATGCAATGCATTTTAGTGAAGCTGCACCGAGCAGTGTACGCCTTAGGGATGAATAATAAGTTAAAAAGAGTTTAGCAGAGTGAGATAAAAGTACAAAAGGACAGATGTCCAGAGGAAAACAAAGAGCCTCAAAGTGGAAAAATATTAAAAACTAATATGTGTAAAGTGTAGTAAAAAGTAAATAAGAATAATAAACAACAGTCAAGGAAAGTCATTAGTTGTAGTGCTACTAAATTGTTGTTGGAGACCAGCGTAAATGTGATTTGTAGATAGAATTGGTAATGGAGTAGAATTATTCGTTTTATAAGTAGTCATCGTGTGGTTTGTATTCTTAGGGT